TCGCGCCAGGCCCAAAAACAAATAAATCTTAGCAAGAACAAAACACCTTGGTGCCTGGTATGGTAGCATAGCAGCTAAAGTCTTCGACTTACATGTGCTGGGATCCCATATGGACATCTGTTCTAACCCCAGGGGCCCTACTTCCCATCCAGCTTCCCGCTTTGACCTGGGAAAATCATCAAGGATGGCCCAAAACATTGGGATCCTGCACGCATACGGGAGACATGGAAAAAGTTCCTGGCTTCTGACTCCAGATTGGCTGGAGTCACCCTTGTGGCCACTTGGGGAATGAATCAACAATGGAAGACTTTCCTCTCTGTTTCTTCTCTCTGTATATCTGACTTTCCAATTTAACAGCAAAACAAAACAAAAAATAACCTTCTTTGTACATACTGAAAAAAGACAGAACCCTAAACATGTAATTTCCAGCACACTGTGATGGTAGACAACATTTCACCTGCTGTTGCAAGGTGTTGCTGAAAGACTGCGCCCTATTGGGCAGCTGGTTTCCCCTCGACTTCCTCTTTCCCTTTGCTGGTTTTCCTCTGCATCCTTTCACCTTTTAGCTGTGAGTACGCTGAAAAGCTGAGCTCCATATGCATCTGGGAACCAAAGAGCTTGGAGGTGATCCTGGGAACCAACACACCTGGAAATCACTCTCCCTCATCAGTGCACAGAGAGCCTCTCATTCCTTATTGTAATACTCCATACGTGTACGAGTACATACTATTATTTATTCAATACTTCTGCTCCACAGAGAACTCTGAAATTTCCCCAATAGGGGTTGGTATTGTGGGGCAGCAAGTGAAGCAGCCAGCACGCAGTACACGACTACCATCCAAGTCCTGCCAGCTTTGCTTCTAATTTAGTAGCGAATGATGGTTCGAGTTCTTGGTCCGCCACCCCATGTGGGAGACCCAGATGGAGTTTCTGGCTCCCTTGTCTGGACCAGCCCTGGTCATTTTGGTTATGTGAGGAGAGTGAACCAGCAGATAGAAGATCTTTGTCATTCTGCCTTTTAAATTAATTAACTGATTTATTAAAACAAAACAGAACAAAAACAAAAAACAAAAAAAAAGAGGAAGAGCTAGGGCACCAACTAGGATCCCAACTTCCATCCCTGATGGAAGACCAGTGGAACACGATCCAGTTCCCTGAACTTCTGCACCCATGTGGGAGACCTAGAAGAAGCTCCTGGTTCTGGCTTCAAGCCTGGCCCAGCCCCAGCACTTGAGCAGTGAACTGGTGGGTGGAAAACTTCTCAGCCTCTCCTTTCTCTGTCTGTAACTTTTTAAAGTATTTTTTAAGAAATAAAAAATGTTTATAATACTTTTCAATTAGAAATTGCTACACAGTTTGTAGTTACATATGCAATTCAGAAGAATGTCTATTTCCTCACAGACTAGCTAACCAAAAGAGCTGCCATATGTTTTCCACATCTACTAATCTGATACATAAAAAGTGGAAACTTAACGGTTAACTGTTCATTTTTTAAAAATTACAAACCCATCTTTTCATATACTCAACAGGCACCATAAACAAAGGATGAATTATCAAGTGTCCCCCATTAAAATTGGGGTTTGGGTCAGCACTGTAGCATAGCAAGTAAAGCAAATGGCTGCAATACCAGCATCCCCGTATCAGTGCTGAAATCAGCACTGTTCCAGCTTTTCTACTTCCAACCCATCTCCCTGTTAAGGCTGGGGAAAGAGGGAAGATGACCCAAGCACTGGTACCCCGCCACCTACCTATGTGAGAGCCCTAGACCAAGAAGCTCATGGCTCTGGTCGGGCCCACACCTGGCTGCTGCAGCCATATAGGAAGTGAACCAGCAGACGGAAGCCCATTCTCTCTGTGTAACTCTAACTTTCAAATAAATAAGTGAATAAAAATGGAGCTACGTGGGAAAGTGTGTGGTACAACAGTTAAGGTGCAATCTGAGATGTCTGCATCCTGTATCAGAGTGCCAGGGTGCAGATCCTAGTTTCACTCCCAATACCAGCTTCCTGCTAACACACAGCCTGGGAGGCAGCATTTGATGCTCAGGTCCTTTGGTCCCTGTGCCACCCAGGTGCAAGATCTGAACTGAACTTGGACTCCTGGCCTAATGGGGGAGTAAAGCAGCACATGAAATTTTTTCTGTTTTTGTCTGTCTCTCTTCCAAATAAAAATAACTTTTAATTGGGATTTGTCAATTCCTGAAACCAAGAATTCTCTCTGTAATAGGCATAAGCCCTTTACCTGCAATGCATGCTGTAAACATTTTCTCCTCAGTGTGACTGCTGTCTTTTCACTGAGTGGTGTCCTGGCAACTAGCTCCGAGATGTCTGGCTTTACAAACCTTCTGAAAGAGTACACAGAAGGCAGGCTGCTCTTCTGAAGGTCTGCGCATTCAGATGTCTGCAGGCTCCGTGTCCTGAGGCTCAATGGGAGCTACTGCTGTCCCCTGTCCAAGGAGGAGCTGGACAGTGCCCAACAGGGCCCCTTAGCTGAAGAGCCCTCCAAGTCCCTGAAGGCCTCTCCTGGCTCTCATGAGCACTTTTGCGCACGTCAGACACCCAACAGCCAGACTGCCAGTGGCGCGTTTAAAGTTTGTCATTAGCATGAAATCTTATCCACAAATGCATTCCTGGGTTCCTACACACCTCTCCCACATGTCACCAACAAAACTATAAAGCTCAGCTGTCACCTATCCAGCCCCAAACAGATCACAACCATTACCTCTGGGCTCAGAGAGCGCACACCTCTGAAACAATAAGAAAGAGCATAGATCTTTCTTGGCAGCATACAATTCAGTCAATTCTAACTGACTAGCTAAAACTTTTTTTCCAACAAATACTTTCGTTATTTCCTTTTGCTTCACAGAATTCAAAATAGTATTTACCAGATCAGGTGCAATGACTCAACAGCTAAATCCTCTCCTTGCAAGTGCTGGGATCCCATATGGGTGCTGGTTCCTATCCCAGTGGTCCTGCTTTCCCATCCAGCTCCCTGCTTGTGGCCTGGAAAAGCAGTCGAGGATGGCCCAAAACCTTGGGACCCTGCACCCACATGGGAAACTCAGAAGAGGCTCCTGGCTTCAGATTAGCTCAGCTCTGGCTGTTGTGGCCACTTGGTGTGTGAATCAGCAGACAGAAGATCTTTTTGTAAAGCTGAATTTCCAATCCAAAACAAAAATAAATCTTAAAAAAAAGGGGGGGGGGTGTGGAGTAGGTGAAGAAGGAGAAAGTGAGAAATGGACTTTAGCCACCAAGCTATTGCGCCAGGCCATATATGGAGCTTTTCATACCAATTAATGACTATTATCCATAGAAAGAAATAATGTCATCAGATGGAGTATGGAGCCTAATCCAAGAACATGAATGTATTACTGGTTCTAAAAATTACAGCTTACATACCTGTGTGCTTACTAAGTGCTAGCAGAACACAGCCACACTCACACATTGTGTGGCCGCTTCCAAACTACAACAGCAGATAAGGGTCTTTCACAGATAAAGTTCACTGACATCTGGCCTATGATAAAGTCAGGTTGTGTGTGTGTGTTTTTTTTTAAGGATTTTATTTGTTTTTATTGGTAAGTCAGATACACAGAGAGGAGGACAGACAGAGGGAGATTTCCCATCTGCTGACTCACTCCCCAAGTGAGTCAACAGTAGGAGCTGAGTCAATCCAAAGCCAGGAGCCCAGGGCCTCCTCCGGGTCTCCCACATGAATGCAGGGTCCCAGGGGTTTGGGGCCACCCTCAATTGCTTTCCCAGAGCACCAGATGGATGGGAAGTAGTGCTCCTGGGATTAGAACTGCTGCCCATATGAGAATCTGGCACATGTAAAGCGAGGACTTTAGCTGCTAGGCTACCACATGGGCCCAGGAAGTACATTTTTGGCCTCCTTGACAGATACTCTTTTTAAGCATGTGAGTTCATTAGATTATCACAACCTCTTCACCATTATTTCTCATCTAATAAAATCCTCCATTGTGAATTTCAAGTTTACAGAAAGAAATTTAATTTCCCATGCAAACACGCCTCTAGGGGAAAGACTTACTGAGCAGCTAGTATGATCATTCCTACCAAGTAATGGTTTCACAGACTTTCTGGGGTCAGTGCTGTAATGCAAGATAAGCCACCATCTATAATGCTGGCACTCCACGTGCGTGCCAGTTCAAATCTTGGCTGCTGCCCTGCAGATACAGCTCCCTATGAATGCACCTGAGAATCTGAGGGAAAGATGGTCCAGTTACTTGGGTTCCTGTACCTGGGTAGGACACCAGGCTGGAATTCCAAGCTCCAGGTTTTGCTGTAGCCCAGCCCCAGCCACTGCGCTTACTTGGGGAGTATATGAAGATGAAACATCTCTTTCTTTCTGCCCTTGTCCCCTCTCTCTGTAACTCTTTCAACTAAAAAAATTTTTAAAAACCAAAACTAAACATTTTTTTAAAAAAGAGAAGACTTTCTGATTTATGCTTCAGTCTTTCATTAAGTGTATTGGCATGGATCAATTCTTAAGAGACCATCGCCTCCGTTATGCCGAATAAAGTCAAGTTTCTGGACGTGTAAAAGGATCAGTTACTGAAACCCAGATAGCCTTCTGTGTATCCCTTCTAGGAATAGCCCCTGTGCTGACTCTAACCGGGCCAACAGCCTCCCTCAAGGGTTTCTCCGACTTCACCCTAACCATGACACTACCAAGTCCACATCCCTTCTTAGCATCAGATGCAGAAATATCACAAATTTTACTACTAACAGATTCAAGATTTCACCTAAAGCAGATGCTTCAAAGAAGTGACATTTCTTCACTTACATTTTATGTTTTTTTAAAAAAAATCATCAAAAAGTTAAATTAAAAAACAGCATATTATACATGCTATATATGTTATGTATATATACATATATAAATAAATATAAAAGCTACCTGCTGGCACTTGTATTTCATCAGGAGACGTGTTACTCTGGAGAACTGTCATTCACACCCAACGCCTCTGAATCACGGTCTCATCTTACCTGGCTCGGGCTCATCTTCTCTTCAGCAGCTGTGCCACGTTCCCACGGGTCTTGCTTCGCTCCCTCACAGGGCTCTCTCTCAATTTCCGCCTGGTTCCCTTGCTCTCTGAAGACCGTTAGCTCCATGCTCTTGGTTTTCTCTTTCCTATCAGAGATCCCCGAAGCCACAGAACCTCCTGCTGGGGGGTCTACTAGCCTACACCACCCAGGCTCAGCCCCGTGATCCAAGGTCTCAGAGGTGTCTTCACGACAACTTGCCGCCTGGGTCCTCTGCAGCTGCGAGGGCGGTGCCCTACTCTGACTTACAAGAGAGCTGGAGGCTCCAGGCTTTAGATCTGGAATCACACTTGGCTCAGAGTCAGCATGAAGCTCTTTGGAGACACTCACTGGGAGTTCAGAGTATAATTCCTCTACCACGGCAGACATGGAGGAATCAAGCGGAACTGGCTGAGTCTCTACTCCGGAGGACAGCATTGGGGCAGGTGCAGATTATGGATGGAGTCAAGTCTTTTACACCAAACGGCTCACCCTGACACAAATCAAAGGAAGGGATAAAAGTTTAAAAATCTTGACAGGGTAGAAGAAAGCTGTCTCAGTTCAAACTGGCTAAAATATTAAAGTTGAATTCAAATGCCAGTATTCTCTTGGCACCAAAATTAACACGCTGAATTGAGGGGTGCGGAGTATCTTCACCCTTAACAGGCATCAAACTAACTGCAATTCACTCATATTACCTTATGAATAAGAGTGACATAAATATGAAAGGCAAGTGAATGTGGATTTAGATAAGATATTCCTAGCCCAGAAAGATTTGCCATCAAGGAGGGCCTGGCTCTCATCCTTTGTTCAGTGATGCTTCCTTCCTGCAATTGATGAGTATGTGCAAGGTGAACCCTTACCAAGGACCCGAATGCACTGATTTTTCCCCTTTAAAGAGGATATGGGGACCGGTGTGGCTCAATGAGTTAAGCCTCCGCCTGCAATGTCAGTATTCCATTTGAGCACCGGTTAGAGCCCCAGTTGCCCCACTTCTGACCCAGCTGTCCAGTAATGCATCCAGGCAAGCAGTGGAAGAAGGTCCAAGACTCTGGACCCCAGCACACACAGGAGACCCGGACAAAGCTCCTGGCTTGGGTGTGGTCCAGCTGCAGACCGTGGGGGGAACTGGGAGGACTGAACCACTAGATACAAGTTTTTGTCTCTATGTAACTGTTTTTCTGATAAATACATCTTTCAAAAAGAGAAAAAAGATACAGAGAAGTAGCAGCAATTCTTTACTGCTTACCAAATACTTGATCTGTATCTATCCAGACTAACACAAACGCCCCTAAACCGGCTCTCCAGCAGACTGTTTTCTGACTTTCCCTGCAACATCTGGAGATTTTCTGAGTGTTTTCAGACAGAAGTCACTGGATTCTGACAATAACCCTGTGAGCTATGTAGGCCAGCGCTCATCTTCCCAATTTAGAAGCTCATATCACACCTGAGGAAGTGGAAAAAGACCTGCCTAAGATATTCCACGGTTATTTGGCAGAAAGTGGGTGAGGGTGGGGGCACCCAAGGCTTCCAATGTTGGCAGCGTCTGTTTTCTTGCAGATCTAAGCAGGTCATAATACAGAGTGATAACAGCGGCCCAGTGTTTTCGAGCCCGTAAGTCTTTCAACTTTGGTCTATAAAACATGAGCAACATCCACAACAAAATGCACTCTGACATGACCAAGGCAGGAATCGTGTAACCAAGTAGGATACATCATGCTTTTATTCTGATTCTCCCTCTAGCCCTAGCCGGATTTTAAGGAACTCTCTTGAAATGTTAACTTAGACACAAGACTTAACACATGAAAGGCTTTCCATAAACACTGCTGAGACAAACGGACTCCTTTCAGAATCCTTTTTGCCATTTGCAGGTACTTGTTGGAAAAGAAGGTTAACAGAAAAGAAAACTGAATCACTTTTTGATGTCAAAAGTCAGTAGCAAGAGTTCAATTTTCACAGGTTCAGTTTCCTTTTCCCAACAACATACAAATCAGTTTTTGGTGTTAAAGCACATGCAGGGGACTGTAACCAACCATGTACGATGGCTCAACCAACTAATCCTCCACCTCCAAGTGCTGACATCCCATATGATCCCATATGGGGGCTGGTTCATGTCCCCTGCTGCTCTGCTTCCCATTCTGCTTCCTGCTTATGGCCTGGAAAAGCAGTCAAGGTCGGCCCGAAGCAATCCCTACACCTGTGTGGGAGACGTGGCAGTGGCTCCTGGCTTCAGACCAGCAGCCACTGTGGCCACATGCGGAGTGAATCAGTGGTGGAAGATCTTTCTCTATGAAATCTGCCTTCCCAATAAAAATAAGTAAATCTTTCAAAAACAAAAAGAAACACACACAAATGAAAGAATCAAACACTGGGAAGAACACTATTGAGATCCAGTTTCTCAGTGGTGACTGGCGTCTCGTGTCTGTCATAAAGGCCTCTCCTTGTGCTGCCCACCAAAGAGAGAACAGGTGTCCTCCAAGTTAATCCTTGACTCCTCCCCTTTTGGGCTTCCTTTTCCTAATGAAACCTCTGCCTTGAGGAGACCTCCAAACTGTCCCTTTCTGGATAGAGTTTGCCTATGACCCAGTAATTCCACTTATAGGTATTTATACAAAATGATGCCCCCATGAAACCTGTCCACAAATGGTCATTAGCAACATTACAACAGAGAGTGGAAACAATCCAACCATGCATCACGTGACACTACAGGCCAACCTTGAGAAAATCATGCTAAGTGAAACAAGTCAGACACCAAACACCACACACTGGGAGATCCCACTTACATCAAGAGAATGTCACAAACAGGCACATCCACAGAGGCAAGGTAGAAGGAACTGTTGGGCTCCGTGTAGTAGATGTGGGGGACATGAGGGGGTGAAGAGTGTTCCATTGCAGGCAGGGCTGCAAGGAATTTCCTGCTGTTTGGCAGGGCCCACCCAGCGGATGTCTCTACAACCACCTGAATGCAGCTCCACCTTCTTTCGCATGGACACCGGACCACCCTGCGGAAGAATTCTAATCCATCCTGGCATTTGCTACTGCGAGGTTAACCTTTTGCTCAGCCTGAGCTTGGAGGTCAATATCTTGCAAAAAGGGCCCTTTATCATTCCTACTGTCTTGGCTGCCCCATTGAACCTATGCTAATCAAGGGACCTGTATTTCCGCTTTCATTCTTTCCTTGATCTTTAAGTTCTCCTTTTCTTTGTGATACAAGATTGAATTGTAGGATAAGAACTGTAGCAGGAACTTCTAGGTACTAGCAGCTGGAACTTCTAAATAATACTATGGCAGAGTTATCTTTAAAAACACCCACTTGACTGTGACGTAAAAAGTCTGAGCCAGAGTTTGACTGATTTTGTATAAATAAAGCGGACAGCTTTTGTGCACCGTCCATTATGATCATGAAGTCCTAGTGGTCCGTCTCTTTCTTTCCTCTTTACGCCTCATCCACGCACCCTTCTCAAGTTCTGAACCCAGCTGGAGCTGGACTCCGGCAAGGAACAGTGAGTGGCTGCCTAGGCCTGGGAGCACTGGGGAAATAGGCAGTGGCAGTTGATGGCACAATTTCTTCTGGGGATAATAAAAATGTTCCAACTTTTGATCATGGTTGTGTCTGTGAATAGATTAAAATGCTGGCAGAAAGAAACCTGACCTGAGCCCCAGTTTACTCTGAATTCCTGACAAGATGACACAAGGGCGGCATTCCTGTAACTTAACTGTTGAAAAAATAGAACCCATAAGCCCAGCGCGGTGGCCTAGCAGCTGAAGTCCTCGCCTTGAAAGTGACGGGATCCCATATGGGCACTGGTTCTAATCCCGGCAGCTCCACTTCCCATCCAGCTCCCTGCTTGTGGCCTGGGAATGTAGTTGAGGATGGCCCAAAGCCCTGGGACCCTGAACCCATTTGGGATTCATGGGGGAAGTTCCAGGCTCCTGGCTTCGGATTGGCGCAGCACCAGCCGTTGCGGTCACTTGTGGAGTGAATCACTGGATGGAAGATCTTCCTCTGTGTATATCTGACTTTGCGATAAAAATAAATAAATCTTTAAAAATAAAATAGAATCTACTCGGGGCCAGCATATTCACTCAACTAATCTTTTACCTCCAAGCACCAGCATCCCATATGGGCACCAGTTTGTGTCCGGGCTTTTCCACTTTTCCATCCAGGTTCCTGCTTATGGCCTGGGAAAGCAGTAGAGGATGGGTTAAAGCTTTGGGACCCTGCACCTGCGTGGGAGACCCAAAGAAACTCCTGACTTGGGAACAGATCAGCTCTGGCTGTTGTGGCCACGTGGGGAGTGAATCAGTGGATCTTTCTCTCTACCTCTCCTTTGCAGTAAAAATAAATAAATCTTAAGGAGAAGCAAAGGTGAACAAGACACCCTCGGTGAACTTCCATGCTCATTCTTAGCCTGCTGTCCCTCTCAATAACAGCAGAGCCATTACCCTACACCTTAGATTTGAACTCCGACACGATAACCGACCTTCCACCTGTGGCTCCATCAGCAGCTACAGTTGGTAGACTCTATTCTGCAGGGGCTCTTGTCTTACCATTTTTAGCCCTACTTCAACATTTGCTCCCAGATGCTGAGCATGCCTCATACACAAACACAACCTCCACTCAACAGTCAATAACCATGAACCACAGAAAAGGGTTCCACTTTTTCCTTAAGGAAGATAGGGCTCTTAACTTTTCCTAAGCCTGTGTGTACACTGTCGACAGGAATTGGCCAAACCAGAATTCCACAGCTTTGGTTATCACAAGATAACTTCCAAACACCTGTTACTGTTCGGACATAATTCTAAGAAATTTCCAAACTGTAAATCAGTGGTGCATGTTGGTTGTGGGAGGAAAAGACACTCTCTCCTTTTCCTGGTCCACTTCTGAGTTGTCACGTTTCTGAGCAGAAGCCGGGGCTGGTTACTGAGAACAGCTGAACATAGCTCTTCAACAAGAACAGCTGGAACCCTCAGAGCTGAAGGGACATCCAGCTCCTTGGTTGCACCGCCATTTATCACAACACCACAGGAACAGGATGTGACTGCCAGACATTGAGCTCTTTTAAGACTAAATTCCTGAAGCCAATGAAGCAATCAAAAAACAAGCACATGGAAACACATCTCTGCACAGAAAACTGCCTGGGATACGTACCACTGTAGACTGAATGAACACCAGGACTCTCATTTTAGTAAAATACAAGGGAACTCTTCCAAAGCATCGTGGGAACTCACATTCTGAACAAGTTGTATATGAAATTCAAAGGAAGATTTTTGCACCAAAATAATCTCTTAAATTCCACTTCTCCATAAGTTTTGTAATGTCACCCCTGTTCCCCTTTTAAGCACACAGGAAAAATGAAGGAATATAAGCCAAATAGTAACTGTTACCCTGGATGAAGAGATCAATCATGAATTCTGTTGTCAATAATTAGCTATTTTTTTAAACAGTGCATAGTATGTATGCTCATTTTAGGGGTCATTTTCAAAGATCCAGATGCACAGCACAATCTAACAACAAAACTGGTATTTCTTTCCAACCAGCTCTCTAAATCTTCAATGCTTTCACACTAAAATCTTACAGTACAATGAAAGACAATGAGAAACCGATGCATATAAAAATTGTAGGCAGGGACTTACAGCTTAATCCTACTAAATGACTTATAATCAACCTGGCTGAGGATACCAGCTAATTATTTAGTTTGAGGCATAAGCAAAGAATAAACCAGGGATTAATGAATGACTCTTGCCAGCTGCTACTTAAGATTGGTTAGGGAAAGGCTATGTCTGCAAAAAAAGTGACGTTTACATCAAGAATGCAGTAAAAGGATTCCAATGAAATCGATCAAATGATGCTTTTGAGTGAACAGTCACATCTTTTTCTCTTTTAAAGGCAAAAGTGCTCCAAGTTAAGAAGAGACCAAGGTCCCTATCCCGCTACTGGCACAGCCTCCACTGTGAGAAAGTGCAAGCTGAGTGAACTTCTCTGGGCTTGGCTTTCACTTGGAGCTTGAACCAAGTTCAACAAAATAAATCCTGCCACCCTTAAAAAAAAACAACAATCCAGGACTCCAAAGGATGGGGCTTTGCTGCTGCTTCTCTTTGTTTCAAAGGATACACCCACAGACACCAGACAGCAACCATTCCTTCAGAGCCTGAACTAATCCCCTCCGCCTGCACTTGGGGGGGCGGGGGGGGGGACTTGAAACTTGAAGTAATTTAAGAACACTTTGCACGGGAAAAGATGAAAAGCTTTCCTTTGGGGTGACTTCCAATAATTTCGCTTCCTAAATTAATTCTGATCTCACCCAAAGAAAACAGGATTTAAAAAAAAGTGGTGGTGGGGGAGGGAGGATGAGGAGGAAACCTAGCAGTTGGTCAAGGACTGACACCGCCAATTCTGGATCTCATTAGACTACATTTTCTTATATGGAAAAAAAAAAACCCGACAAAATAGCAACTTTTTGTCACTGAAACACTCCCCAAAAGTTCAGGAGGTACAGAATTTTTAAGGCAACAACAACAACAACAAAAATCTCCAAACACCAAAGAACACAATCACAGCCAAACAGAAAAGCCATGTGCCTTAAGAATCCCAAATCTGAAGGTCTCCTCCGCTCCCATTCCAAAGCTCCCATTTCAAGGGCGCAGCAAAACCCACCATAACGCTAGGCCCCCCTCGGAAGTTCCCAAGGCTCCTTTCACCTGGGGCAAGGAGCTGGCTTTCCCAGACTGAGACACTGTAGCCAGGCCCTCCACCAGGAAGGCTCCAGGGGGCCCTTCTGGAGCGACAGAGAAACAAAAGTCTTATAACAATATCTTCAGACAAGCTGAAAGGCCGACTGGGGATGGAGGGGAGAGTGGCGCCGGAAATCTCCAAAGCATTCAGCCCCGTTTCCCCTTCCCTCTCTTTATTAGCATGGGGGGGGGATGGCTCAGTCTCCACATAGGGGTGGGGGGCCAAAGCTCTTGATCCCTACTGACAAAAGACAGCAGGCAAAAAAGACTGCCATCTTTTTTTCAGAGTAGAAACCAGAAGCGTACAGGTGGAGTCCTCACCCAGGCCAAGTGGTATTTTTTTTTTTCCATGGGAAAGTAAGAAAAAGGAAGAAGTTGGAATTACGCTGCAGGGGAAGTGGGGAGGGGAGCGGGAGGAGGAGGAGCAGAGAGAAGGAAACTTGATTATTTTCCCCCTTTGGTCACCAGGGCAAGCAGTCGGGGAGAGGACATCCCTCCCTAACTGATCAGAAGCGGTGATCTGTTCGATGGACAGAGGAAAACCTCTCTCCCTCCCTCCCAGGATGACAGACCTGCTCCCCAAAAGCCAGCGGTGTTTTGTGGTGTTTGATTATTTTCAGGGAGGCCCTCTTCGTGATAGTTTCTAAGGAGGAATGCCAACTGTCCTCCACCTGCTAAAGAGGTACAAGTCTTCCTCCCCTGGTGGCTGACAGTCTTTGTACAAAACATTTACAATGGGGGAGGTTGGAAAAAACACACGTGGGGGGGGGGAAAAAACAAAAGAGAGAAAAACTTTCTCTGCGCAAGACATTATTAGCCGCTCTCGCTTTTAACAGTCACAACATGTTTTCCTATTTCCTCTGTTCTAGGTTCGCACGCAAACATTCCCTCCCGACCCTCCTTTGACAAGACGAAGGAAAAACCTCACCCCAATGGAAAGACGGGCTGAATCGCAGACCAAATTCAGCAATTAGCCAAGGTCACCACGGGATGAAGTGGGACACAAGGACTCGCAATACGATCAAGCTCCGAACACTGCGCTGCGGATCTTGCGAGAAAAAAAGGCTGGTGGATTGGGGAGGGAAGGGGGCTCCTGAAAAAGGCAAGGCGAGGTTCTCTCCAAGGCCACGACTGCAGGGGGGACTTGTCTAAATTCCAGATTCTCCTTTCCCTGACCACGGGGGTGCGGGTTGGTGGGCTTCTCCCTTGTCACTCCGATGGAAAGTTAACTCTCCCTTCTCACACGGGGAGGGGGTCGCGGACCACATTTTTGGGGGAGAGGGTGTTTATCCCACCTGATTATCTCAGCAGAAGTTTGGAGCCCCCCACCTACTGGAGTACCGTTCCTGGGAATTGGGGCGGGGGTCCTCCTTGGCTGAAAAACCGCAGACGCTAAGGAAACACGGACGCGCCTTTCTTTCCCTGTCCTTGCCAGAAAAGAAGTTGTGTGTGTGTGTGGGAGGGGGTGTCCTCTGGCCTTATAGGAGTGTCCCCCCCTGTTCGCCCACCCCGGCGGAGCCATGACTTGGAAAGCGACCGCGGGAGCCCGGTCTCCTCTCGCTCTCTCGGGGTCGCCACCTGCAGCGCAGACTCCATTCCCCTTGGGCAGCCGGAGAGGGCGTGTGGTGGTGGTGGAGGAAAAGGCTCGAGTGTCCCCCCCCCCACCTCCCCATCCCTAAAACCCACACCAGCCGGCGGAGAGTCCGAGCCTCTCAGGACGGAGCGCAGAGGGCCCGGCTCCACCCGAAGCGTTCCCGTTTTCGGCCTCTTACCTTGAGGCCTGCTCCGCGGCCCGCGCCTGCCCCGCCAGCTCGACCTCGGCCGCTGCAGCCCCGTCGCCGCCAAGTCTACCTGGGCTGCGGAGCCGAGCGAGCTGCACGGACCGAGCTGCTCCGGCCGCTCCGGCCGCCTCGTCTCTATGGTTGGCCCCCCTCCCCCATACCTCCAACTTCACGCCCCGGACTTCCTCATCCGGGGCCCAAGCCAGCCATGCGGACGCTGCAAGCCCCGCCCCCGCAAGGCGCGCGCGCGCACTCTGCCCGCGCCGGACCTCCCCCCCCCGCGACTCAGGATTTAAAGGAGAACGCAGCTGGTGCTTATCTCCATGGCTACCACCATTTTTCTGCAACACCTGCACCCTGGGTGCTCGAAAGCTGCCTAGCATCAATGCTTTAGGCCCAGCCGACCGCGAAATCTTAAGTGACAACCCTCCTCCAAGGACATTACCTGCCCGTCAGTCTTTCCTAACTTTGGCACTGCCATTATTCTGTTTTACCACTATTGATGCCTTTATCATCTGTCCATGCCTCATCACCGCTGTTTATCATTATATATGCTCAGCCCCTAAACGATAGCTACTCAATAGCTATCTGAAGAAAAGAAATGCATATGTCTGTCTCTCTCTCTTGCCCAAGACAGAAGTGAGATCCAGCAAATAAAATCTATTGGCCCCGAATCCCACGGCCTTGTGTTAAAAATAAAAATCTGAAAAAAAGAAAATAAAAATACAAATCTGGGGCTTGGTGCTAGTTTAACCAGGCAAGAGCCAGAGGCTTGGAGATTTGCGCGATATTTTCATTCTCTCTCCATGGAGACAAGAGAGTTTTTGAGCCAGTGGACATGCATTTTGTTTAATCAGAACTGCAGATACACGAGTACACCAATCCTACTGTCAACAACCTACAAGAGCACATATAGGATATTTATACACAGGTTATTTTCCTTTAAAAAAAAAAAGATTCGTTTTTATTTGAAAGGCAGATTTTACAGAGAGGAGGTAGAGAAGATCTTGCATCAACTGGGTCACTCTCAAAAAGGCTGCAATGGCCAGAGATGAGCCCATCTGATGCCAGGAGTCTCTTCTGGGTCTCCCACATGGGTGCAGGGTCCCAAGGCTTTGGGCCATCCTCAACTGCTTTCCCAGGCCACAAACAGGGAGCTGGATGGGAAGTAGAAGAGCCGGGAATAGAATCAGCACCCATGTGGGAACCTGCCTCATGCAAGGTGAGGACTTCAGTTACTGAGCCATTGCACCGGGGCCTGGTTACTTTCTTTCTATTGTCTATAGACATCATTGGGATAAAGTAATTAAACATTCACTTAGAAATACTTTCTATGTTTTTATCCTGGAGTACTTTTCCAGGCAATTCCATGCCTGCAGAAAGGAATCAGGAACCTAGGATTGGGGCTGGTGCAATAGATCAATTGGTTATTTCTCCACTTGTAAGCACAGGCATTCTGTGTGGGTACTAGTTCATATCCCGGCTGCTCCACTTCCTGTCCAATTCCCTATTTGTTGCCTGGGAAAGCAATTAAGGATGGCCCCAAGCCTTAGGACCCTCCACTCACATCGAAGACCTGAAGGAGGCTCCTGGCTCTTCGGTTTGGATCAATTTATCTTGGGCTGTTGTAGCCATTTGGGATAGGAAGATCTCTGTCTCTCCTCACCGTGAATCTTCCAATAAAGTTGAATCTTAAGAAAGAAAGATTTGAGAAAAGAGGAATGTTCTGTGTAGCACACATAGCTAGGCAATATGTCGCTGGCAGCTAAGACCAATGGGTACCCTGTCCTGGTGAGGGGCGGGAGGGACTGGGCAGGACAGAAGCCTACCTGCTGTGACTTCCCTGTGATCAGCTTCTGACAATTTAAACCAAAACCAATGGGGAAAAAAAAAAAAAGCTACCTCAAAGCTTCGAGAAGATTGTTTACAAGAGTTGTCCACTGAAAAAGTGAAACTTTGGGGGCTGGTGTTGAGGCCCTGCAGCTAAAGCCACCACCTGCTATCCCTATAGGGGTACAAGTTCGAGACCTGGATGCTCCATCTAGCGCCCTGCTGGTGCACCTGGGAAAGCAGCAGAAGACGGCCTAAATGCTAGAGCTCCTTGTGCCCAAGTGGGGGACCCAGAAGTAGCTCCTGGCTCCTGGCTGCTGCCTGGTCAGATCCTGGCCATTGAGGCCCATTGGGGAAGTGACTCATCAGCTGGGAGAGTCTCTTTGAAACTCTTTTATTTTTTTTTCTTTTGTAACACTTTTAGGTAAGCTGGAAGTCTTTTTAAAAAGAGAAACATTTGCATTTCTAATAAAGGACACAAGTTCCACAGGTCTCTTAGGAGAATCAGTTTTTTCTGCCCTTAAAGGTTATAAAGGGAGAAGCCAGTAGCCAGTTACCACCGGCTGAGAGCCGGAGAGGGGAAAGACTTCCTACGAAACCCCTGGGGTGAAGCACAGCAAACAGCAGGTGGATCTGGGTGTGTTTCTGGAAGTAGCAAACTTGTCTGTTACACCTAACATTCTATCCAGGAAAACATCCTGTAACTGTTGCAGCTCACTGTGCATACCGAACATTTCAAAATCTCAACTACTTAAGGATTACATTATGTCACCACCTTCTGCTAAACGGGAAACATCTGTACTTTGAGGAGAAGCCGGAGGGGGTGGGGGGAAGGTGGTCAGGAGAGGTGCCTTTGGCTTTGGTCACCCGTCGGGAGCTCTTGGCCAGCGGCAAACACTGCACCCCAGGCTCTGACATCCCCAAGGATGGGGATACTGCAGCCCTTCTCCTGACTCAGCTTCCCCGCTCTGAAATCCTACAGCAACCTGGGACCCCCCGCCCAAATGCGTGGAAGACGTGAACGAAAAGGAACTTATTTTGTTACCTTTATAGTTTTGACGTCTGTTCCCCCAAGCTTTTGAAGTCCTCGGAAGGACTTTCCAAAAATAATTTTGTTTTCCACAAAAATAAACCTTTGGATGTCATTTGCCCTGAAAGGTGGTGGGGTAGGGGCACTAAGATGGAGCGGGGTCGAGCCTCCCGGTTCCCTCTTGTCAGAAACGGGCACCGATGGCTTTCGGACAGCCTGGGAAGAACTGGATCTTGGCATCCACATAGATGGTTCTAGAAGCCGCCGCCGCTGCTCGGCCCTCCCTGAGGCGGGAAAATCCCCAGAGGCCGACAGCCCCGCCCCGCCTCCCGGCACGGGTCCCGGATGAGGAAGTACCACGGCCACCGAGACGCGGCGGAGGTCTGGCGAGAGCGGCGCTGGGGGGCGGGGCGGGGGCGGGGCCTCGGGGCGGAGCCACCTGAGCGGCGCGGGTACTCAGGTGAGTGGCTCGCGCGCTGGCCGGGCCGGGCCTGCGGCCGCCCGGATCCCAGGGGAGGCAGGCGAGTGGGGATCCTGCGGACGCTGCAGCCTGGGTTTCTGGAAGCAGGCGCGGGGTGGGGCTGGGGGAACCTGGCGAGGGTTGGACCCGCGGTGTTCTCCCCCCTCCCCTAGGCTGAGTCGGGGAAGGGGCTCTTGGAACTACCGGGTGAGTTGCACCTGCCCGGTTTCGGCTTGGGGTTTTCGCAGGACGGTGGGATGAGGGGCTTGAGGAGGGAGGAGAAGCACCGGTTCTGAAGTCCCGGACTCTTCCTATCTCCTTCCACTCTCTCCCAAAGCGCTGAGTGACCTTGGACAAGTCTTGGTCCCTTTCTGAGCATCGGCGGCCTGGGCTTGTGAGATGGAGGCTGGTAGGGTCTCCCCCGAGAGTTGGTACCCATGGAAGTTCGGGAGAAAGGACCGCCTTCTTTCCTCCTCTTTGTGGTCGCCTTGGTGGGGGGACTTGAGTCACACCCGTGAACCCTGAGTGAACTTGAGCAGGTGGTTTACTGGTCTGAGAGCCCCTTTTCCGTCCGAGGCCACTAGCGTCCCATTCACTGCTTGGCTTTCTATTATGGATACCACAGAGAACATTCCCAGTAGTGATGATTACCTGCTAGTGTGGGGAACCCCTTAAGTTGCTCCTGCTCTGTTCTTGCACCCGCTTTCCCTCCCTCCTTGTAATTGGAGGAGTGATAACCTGCGAGAATTAATGCTGCCGCCTTGCTGAGCCACAGCTCAGCTGTCTTATATCTCGGCTGTATATATCTCCAAGAGGGGTTGGGCGTGGGGGGCGGGGAAGGGCCGCAGCATCACCTTTTCGTTTGTGTTCTTGGCTTGGCAGGCGGACAAGATGACTTTTGTGCCCCGGCTTTGGGCTTGGAACAGCTGAAGGCGTCGACCCTGCAAGATGAGAACAGCCAAAGTGTACAAGCTGGTCATCCACAAGAAGGGCTTTGGGGGCAGCGGTCAGTATTGATGGATCCCGGTGGGGGGGGGGCTTGCGTGGGTTGGCTGTGGGGTAGCTGCGTGTGGTGCAGGGAGGAGGGTGGTCTGACCTGAGGCCCTAGGCCCCTTCTGGTCCCAGCAATGTACCTGGGTTACTACCCTTCCTCCATGTCCTTGGGCTGTTTACTCCAAGTTTCCTGTGGCTCTGAAGTTCCAGCCCACTCGGGGTTGGCAGATCAGAGAAACCCAGATGCTATTTCGTTGTTTTTTTCACGTTGGAGTGCAGGTGTGCCTCCGCCAGGTGAGATCAAAGTGTGAACTTTTGCCTGGGTTTTGGACCTTTGAGGGAGGCAAGGGCAGGAAGCAGCATGCCGTCCTCTGCAGAAGCAGGTCCCAGCTCTGCGGCTCCTGTTCTCTGTGCCCTCCCACGAGCCCTTGGTTTCCCCCTGGTTTCTTTCTCCAAGAGAAGGAGAGACAGAGCAGTCGCCTATCAGCTGGTTCACTCCCCAAATGTCTGCAGTGGCCCAAGCTGATCTGATCCAAAGCTGGGTATGAGAAACTTCTCCATGGCCTCCCACGTTGGTGCAGGGGCCAAAGGACTTGGGACATTCTCCACTGCTTTCCCAGGCCATAAGCAGAGAACTGGGTTGGAAGTGGAGCAACTGGGATGTGAACCGATGCCCATGGGAGATGCTGGTGGTTGCTGAGCTGCAGCATTGGCCCCTGCCAACTTCTGAGTACCACTGCTTTGTGATTTTATAGAAAACAATCTCACAAACTCAAGGGCAAAATTACATCGAAAGTATAATGTTCTTTTGTTATTTAAA